TCAAATCTATCCTTTGATGAAGAATGTTGGACCTGTCGATACTTTTTTGGTCCTGAAATCTTTCAAATGGTGCGAAGCATATTCCCCCCAAACAAAGCGAATATAGGCTTGGTTTATTCCCTTCTTCCGTGCGAATATGTCACCCACCCTCTTTTTCTTTCTTTCTTCCCTCCCCACTTCGCCGCCGATGAGTTTCTTCACATGCAACTGAAAAAAGAAAGATATCCCTTATACCATTCGGCACATGCAACCCGATTTTAATTGCGAGGTTTTGATGGAACATAGGATGTCGTCTAGGTTTTGATGGAAATTAGGATCTCACCATTCGGAGTCATGTTCGAGGGAAAGGGGATGGCGTCTAATATCATGTGCCGTGTTAGAAAGTCCAACTCATATGGTGCAGGCTGGATTATTATGGAATGTGATGAACGGGTATTTTGACACGCTTTCTCACATGCATGCTGGATTAGGAATGATGCGTGGAATTTGACGAACATGGTCGACACACACAAGAAAGAAATCGGGGCAGAACCTGACTCCGATACCATATCGGAAAATCCAATCCAAAAGCATAAGTTGATAAGTAGAGGGAGATCTCATATATATAAAGAGCATATGAATCCCACAGTTAACATGGGATATTTCAATGCACTGCACACCCAACGTGCATGCTCCCGACCTCATGTGCGTACTCTTCCAAAACTCATGGAAGCGGAGATACGAATAAGTAGATGAACGCATCTCGAACATTACATTTCAAACTTACATACGCAGCAATATACGCGTCTTGTACTTAGATATATCAACCCCTTCACCATGAAACTGATGACAGTATCTCTCCAATCCATCAAGATTTCCATTTTGGAGCATTGTTTCGTCGTCACGAATTAGATTAGAATCGTTAGACGATATCAAAACAAGCGAGTGCAATCGAAAGAGACGAAAATGAAGTGAAAAACATCGGGCTCCAACTAGTAACTCGCGACCACAGCACGTCAAAACATAACGGTAGTTTTATTCATTGTCGTACTGAAAAAACCAAAGGGAAACAGAAAAAACACACAGATACAGCCATTCGACTCAAGTACTATAACCCTAATAACACAATTTGCACATACACAAATAGAATTAATAAGCACTAAGACCACGCAGATGAATACCAAGAACATCATCAGAAATCTTCCCTCCTGTAATGAGCATGAACTCACGCATTGGAAGCTCCTGAACCGCGGCACCACTTCTTGCTAAAGGAAGGAACATAACTGAGACAACGAAAATGCCAAAGGATTGAGGTTGCCCTGTAGGCCAAAGCCGAACCCGAACCGAAAAAAGACTAGCTGGAGAGCATCAGTGGCTGAACCCGTTCCCCCAACCGGAAACAGCCCCCTCGCGAGGCCACGGCCAGGCTAGGCGTGCGGCCATGAGAGGTGGCATGTGTCTGGCACGGGAGAGACAAGCAAAGAGAGAGGGGGGATGGCAGCGAGAGCTCGAGAGCGAATTTATACATACGTGCGCGCGTGCGCGACAGAGAGAGAGAGAGCGCTCGATCCAGCGGCTAATATAGGAATGACGACGATGGTGATGCACCTGGAGGAAAAAAGGCGAAGCAAGGAAAGGGACACTACGGGTTTCTTCTCCAGTGGGGTTTGTGGTTATCGCATCTTCCATGGGATATGCGGCGACCACCTCCCTTTTATAAAATCCGATCAGATATTCGATTGGTCCACAGCTTTAACCCCCTCTCCCTTTCCCCTGCTTTTCGTTTTATAGTCTCTTCCTCCCCTTCTCTTTCCTCCTGATCAATAATGGAACATCCCCTCTCTTCTTCGTGTGGTGATGTTTTTCCCATCATGTTTTGTGCCCACGTTGTATTTTGCCAAACGTTGAGTGGGGTCGAGCTCGATCTGATGACGAACCATGTCTTTTCTACGTCGAAGTATATCAATGGGGACAGTGAAGCCTATACATTTCATTGGGAAATACATTTGACAGACTGAGCCAACTATATAGTATGGGAGAAGATGTTTAAAGTATCTCACGTTGCTTGTCGCGGGGTTTGTATTCTATTTATATAGATATGTGTGGTCTCCCTTTACCTATAAAATTTACCTTTAAGACCAATCGAATATGTTATGGCCTCGGAATTTAGCTCCATCTTGGCAATCTTCCCGAGCAGAAGTATCGGATTTCTATTGCGTGCTTCTAATAGGTTTTACCCTAATTCATTTCACTTGTGCAACCCCTGTTCGTCAAATTGCATGTGCCGTTGGCTTTCACGTGCGAAAGGGTGTTAGAGTGTTTCGCATCTATATATGTGATCTCCCTCTACCTATAAATTTGAACTTTTGAATGAAGGTGGGTCCGATTAGATATGTTGACAGACCTGGACTTGAACTGCCTCTTAGCTATTTGGTGATCTCCCTCTTCATTTATAATATATAGAAATTGTACAATTCTCTTTTTTGCATATTTCTTATATAAGATAACAATGATACGGTCTATACTAATTGGTAGATCGAGCTTGCATTAGAACTTCCATGCATGTGATGTCTTATTTTCTTCTTGTTTCGATAATACAAGGGCACGGGCGCATAGACCGGACTATCCGATGCTTGTGATGTTTTCATTCAATCACTCTATACTCGGCTATAATCAAATGATGGATCGCCCCTTTCTCTCGACGTGGACACGGTGTATACAACCGATTATTTTTCTTTTTTCTTTTGGCCAGAATGTTGGTTTCTTAGTTAATTAGGTCAAAAAAGATAGCCTGATGTTGGAGTGAGCAATGGGAAGTCACTAAATCTTATTGTAGTTTCTAAATTTGCGGAGGAACCTGATGTCACAGGCCACAACACTTGGCTTTTCTGAAACTTTAGTGACAAATGAGTGTATTCATTAGCACTAAGCTAAAATTCGTCATCACTCATCGTCCCATAGTTAAAGTCTTATGCAGTCCAAAACGTTATCCAACTCCGTTTTCCAGGAAAATCAACAAAAATCAAGAAAGGGAGGGAATGCAGAGCGTCTTCCGCAAAAGAGGAAAGCCATGTAGATTTCGCCCGTACGCAAATAACATGGTATAGAAGAACCGCCTCGGTTCAACCAACCAACCGGCCGGATTTTCGATACCGACTTCTTGCTGGCTTGACCGGTTTTAAGGCGGTTCGACCGAAAACCATACAGAATTACGTGTCTTGTGCAATACCATGATAGTGATCGAGCTTGATTCTCGCCTTTACACTGTTTACTGAGACTCTCTCTCAAGCTTCCATTCTGAGAGAGAGTAGAGCTCACGGATGGCCTTTCATAAATGAGTTCATCATCGTCAACAAATGGGGTTGAAGTGCGTAAAGATGACTGGGTTTTCTTTGGCCCCAAGACGTGGATGGTGGAGTGCCTCAAAAGCAAGGCGCAAGAACCGTGTCGCACGAGGCTGGCCAGACCAAAAGAAGAACAAGGGTCATGCTCAAATTGTTACATATGGACTCAAAACCATCATTGAAACACTAGCCGGCTAAGCAATCGACCTACGTGTTCGTTGAGAGAAAAGTACCAAAAAAGTCATGAACTTATTGTATTGGTACCAGTTCAGTCTTAAACTTTTCAATTGTGCTAATTTAGTCCCAAACCTTTTCACATTGGTACTGGTTCAGTCCATCCGTTCGATTTAGGCCGAAAATCGCCGACGTGGACGTTGATCATCCTACTTGGCACGGCCAACACTAATGTGAACAATTTCTTTTTATAATTCTTATTAATTTTTTTCTTTTTTTTTCCTTTCCCTTTTCTTTTTGCAGGTGGCCGGCGAGGGATGGCCTTGCATGGGCAAGGGCGAGCGCCGGCAAGGCCTCCCCTCACTGGTGCTCGCCCTTGCCCAGGCGTGGCCCGACGAGGATGACCCTTGCCTATAGCCGACGCTGGCCATCAGCAAAAAGAAAATGGAAAGAAAAAAAAATTATAAAGAAATGTCCACGTCAGCACCGTGGAAACGAACCAATACATAAATGTTGGTAACTAACTCAAAAGGAAGTTGAACAGTTGAAAATTTAATTAGAGAATGTAAATTAGTCACTTATGTTATAGTTAGTAATTTCATAGAAGAGTTGGTAACTCTAGGACACTATTAAAAAAAAGTTAAATGATAGCTGCTAATCAAATTGGTAAAGGATAAGACGAGTCTGCAATTAAAAGGAAATAGACCTGTAAGTAATTAAAACGAGAGATGGTAACCAATAATTAAATTGATAATCGGAAAAAATGGTAACTTTCTCTAAATAAGGTTGATAAATTCTAAAAAAAATGGTAAATTTAAGGTGTCGTTAAGTAGAACAAATAAGAGTTTGTAAATGATAAGAAGAGATGCCAAATTAAAAAAAAAGAAACAAATAAATGTCGTTAAGTGACTTAATTTATAACCTTACATTAGGTGGTAATTAAATGGGAGAAAAATTGGCGAGTCACACTGATTAAGGTCAATAATCTCCAAAGAGAGTTAGTAAATTTTAGGAATTCGGTAAATAAACGAAAACAAAGAAACAATGGTGAATAACTCAAACGATAGTTGGTGACAAATTGGCAATTAATATGAAAAAAATTGAAGGGTCACTCTAGAACTTAGATTAATAATTTCGTATAAAGTAACATACTTGATGCGTTAATAAGTTATGCAAATAAAAGCCAATAAACTAAAGTTCTTAAAACTGTTTACTTATCGTATCTCTCGATCATGATATACACACTTCCCCTGGAAGCTGAATCTTAGTTGCTGCATCCCAAGCAAAGAACAAAGCAATCTGAATATGTTCCTCCACATTTCTTGAGTTTCACCAAAGAAGATTAAAGGCAAAAACCACCCTCTCTTTCACTTTTCGAGTACACTACAAAGAAAGCAAAGCACCCTCTTCACTTCAGTCTCAACTCCAAAAAACCATTTGCGACTCCGCTTAGAGGTAAGATTGAGACGAGGGAGAAGCACCAGCCTTCCACACCAGTCGACGATGGCACTTGCCAAACCTTGCACTTCAACTGGGGACCCTTGGAATGCACGCTCGAGCATGATGACATGGGCATCTTCAATCCTGCTCGCCATAATCTTCCTCATCGTGCTCGGGGTTTCGACCATCTGGCTCACCGTCCGCCCGAGGCAGCTCCAGTTCGCCGTCAAGGACGCCCTGGTCTCTAACTTCAGCCGCAACCACAGCCGCCTCGTCACTGCCGACTTCAATATCAAGATGTCGGCCAATAACTCCAACCACCGGGTCTCGTTCTCCTACGACACCATGAAGGTGTCCGTGAAGAGCTACGACAAAACCCTCGCGTCCGCAGACGGACCGCACTTGATCAATGGCAGGGACAGCTTCACGAATTTCCAGGTGAATCTCTCGTCGCATAATGTGGAGCTACTAGGGTCCACGTGGAGCGACTGGGTGGAACAAAACCGGTCAGGGGAAATCAAGATCGACGTGATCATCGATGCGAGAGTTAAGTTCAAGGCCCTGCATTGGAAGCAGGACCGCTGCAAGATCCGGATATTCTGCGGCGATGTGGCGGCCCACTTCCTACCGAAGGAGAGCTTCCAGTACACCGAATGCGACGTCGAACTATGAATTTTAGTCCATGCCATCATCGCCATCATTTTCCTCTTCTGTCTCATGTCTACATAATGGTCCTATATAGTTTGTGGTGTGTGGATCAACATTCGGAGCATTTCCTAAGTATTTTGAGTCGCAACCCTGCACATTCAACCTGATCACAGTCTAGATTTCTGTCAATTAGCTGCCTTGCGACCATTTCTCCTAAGGGGCGCAGCAAAAAACATCGGACCTCCATCACGCGCCGCGTCTGTAAGCGTCGGGTTTTGGGGCTTGATCGTCTCTTGTTTTTCCATTAGCCCGAGATCTTCATTGACAGACGAAAGGAGCTACTGCAGAGAAATGACTCCCTGCTCATCTCCAGGTGTCAGATTACAGTTGCCGCATAATGCGGAACCAGATATTAAACAATATAAAATTGACTAGAGAGAGCGCGTTATCTGCTGTCCAATCATATGGACAGGGTTCGGCCGGAGGAGCCCAGAGCCCTTTCATCAAGACCAGCAATTCCTCCCATCATGTGCTTTTGATTCATGCAATCTAAACTTGATTGAGCCCCAAGTTTGATGGATAGAGGGGTTGGCATTAATAATTTTCCCACAAAACAAGGAACATTAGAAAAAAAAAAAAGCCTCATCGGAATGCCAACGTTGACCTAGGACATATATCCCGTTTAAGTTTCATGCGCGATTAAAAAGTTTAGAGGGTTAATCTACGACAACAGTCGGAAATGCGGGAATTCGATACATCTGAATGATGGAGACGTAATGTTTGAAACTGAAGAGACGCATTAAAGGAGGAACACCCATAAATGAATGAAAGGATGGTATGGGAAATCGAATTCCTGACCCAACAAGCATTGATCATGCGTTATATCTCAACATACCTAGTGAGATCAAGCAGGCGACTATCGAAGTGCTCGATGCGTAAAAAAATGAGAATTCGGTGGAGAAGTTTCTGGACATTAGAGAAAACTCGAGGATATGGAGAAATCGGAGATGATCGCTTTAGTTAGGACCCAAATTGATCCATTATTCCTTAGATCTGGTGCCTCTGATACCTGAATGGTAAATTTCAGCTTCATGAATCAAGATGTACGCCTTTTACTTTTATATCATCATCCAAAACACCCTTTCTTTTTCAAACCCAAAGAGGATGGATCATCAGTTATCGCCAGACTCATCGCTATGCCTGAAAAGTCTCCGATATCAACATAAACAATCAAGAGCGAGACGATCATCAGTCATCATCAGACTCATCATAAGACTGGCATCGATCATATTCTATTTGTATACATGCATTCGTATCAGTTAACTAAAATTATCTTATGATCTCTCAGAATACCGTGACTTACATGAGGCGGTCAAAGAAAGACGAGAAAATACGGCATTTATTAGATTAGGAAAATAAATTATGATCCATATTGACGGCGATAAAAGATCAACCTTTTATTAGTTCATCGTCCTTGCACAAATGAATGAAATGAAATAATATATACCGGTGCATAATTACAGTATATGATGAAGGTACTATAACAGATCTAAATTCCAGCAGAACAAGAAGTCTGATAAAACAGCTAGCTTAGACAAGACGATGGGTGTTCTTCGTCATATGCTGGTACATCTACTTTTAGAAGAGCGAGACGAAGTCGACGTCGACGTATCATTTGATCGAAAGAACAATTCTACCTCATCACGCCCCGCCGTTTCAAAGAAGTGCAATTTCCGCTTGCGAGGAACCACTGGTTGGGCCTGTTTACGCGGCGTGGGCGGGCAACTTCGAACCGTAGGGATCTTGTGCTCGCTGGAAGTCGGCGTTTCACACCGATCTCCGTCATCCCTCGGTAGCTTCTCATTGCTCTCGTCGTCACCACTTGTGGGTCGTTGCTGTACTTCCTTTGGAGGGCCTTGCTCGGAGTTATCAATCTCCTTAGACATCGGGAGAGATGGAGAGATAGAGAGAGAGAGTCTGTGTTCGTCACAGCTTGCAGCTTATGAAAGAAATGTTTTGTATAGCTTGTGCCAGCTTCTTATTCATTGTATTGGTGCAAATTATATAGCATGATATTCCAATGATTCCAACGCATGTTGATAGAATGCAATGTTGTTTTTGGTGAAAGATACAAAGGATACACAGTGACGCACAGTGATACACAGTGACAAAGAATTGACCGTGTACCCAACTTCTTGAATATCACGACTTAAATCGGCAAGAACGTCGAACTATCTTCCATATAGCCGGTCTATTTATGGATTTTCTCCAGAAATTATAAATATAATTTTGGACTTAAAATCTAATGAAGCTTTTATGGTCGCGATTGCATGATGAGTTGCTCATGCTAGTAATGATGTATATTTAAATTAAGTTTAAAGGGTTTCATACTAGCAAATTCAAGAGGAAGGAAGCATGAAATCATAAAAGTAGGTGCCGCCTTGCTTTTTTTTTAATACTACGTCAACATCTACATACCATAATATTTCATCATCATCAACATAGAAGGACCTTGCAATTTCATACATATACTAATTAACATGATACAATTGATTAAATAACTTGAAAAAAAAACACCATTGTTTTTTTTTTGTATAGTGGGCTAGGTGGAGTCCGGCCAGCTTTCATGTGTGTTGCGAGTCTATTTCCCGGAGCCATCTTAGGGATGCCTAGGGGTGATCGATTTCCACCCAAGAACCGAGAATCAGATTGGTTCCCCCTTCTCTAGAACCGAGAATTAGACCATTTGGTCATGTAACCGGACCGTTAGGTAAGGTTCCTAGGTGGGTAAATGGAATCGGTGGCTCTCCCCATTGTCGCCATTGGCGGAACACCTCTCATGCTTCCAAGCTGATCGAGTTACTCCTTTCGACATCACTCGCGGTCGTCCTACTCATTGCCCGTCCAAATCTGGCCTTGTCCGTGGCTCGCGAGGCGGCTCGTCCATATATTTGGCGAGCTTGGACGATGGAGGCATGGCTCAGTTTAGACGAATCGTTGGTCCAACTCTGAAGTTGTGCCTCCAGATCTGGCCTGCAAACTTCTAGATGGCTGGTCTTCCATGGTCGCTAGCGACAATGAAGAGGGCTCGGCTTGGACGAATGAGCTCGAATGACTACGCCAGCGACTCGGCTGGTCCAAATGTGGAGTCTACGAACTTCCAGATTTGGAGCTGGTGATGACGGCTCCTCCATGGCCGCAAACGAGATGGAGAGGACGGAAGGGGTGGCTCGACTTGGATGAGCAATGCCAACGATGACCATGGGCGAACAGATTTATCTAGTCAACGAAACGGAGAAGCTATCTCTTTGGGCAAGGAGGCAGAATGGAAGTAGCGAATAGGGTTTTTTTAGATTTGTAAGAATTAAGAAAAAAATAATCGGTCCGGTTCGGATGGTCCGGGTGGGCGGTTCCACCCCTGAAATCGGGAACCGAACCGAAATTCACCGTTTTGAATTTTATGGAATCGGGAACTATACCGGCGACCCCGAGAACTGCCTAGCACCGGTCAATACGGCTCAGTTCGGGCGGTTCCCGATTCGGACAGTTCCTTTTGCTCACCACCCCTAGGGACGCCTACAAGAGTGTGTGTGCTCCTAGCTAGGTTTTGGAATGATCTATATGATGGGGGACCTTTCGAAGCAAATGTGACATTGCAAAGGCCAACAAGGACACCAACTGTTTTTGTGGGGGGCAGGTGCTTATTGTATTTCTCCATCATTATCCGATGTATTGGCTCTTGTTTTGTTTGCATGTACTTGCAAAGGCATAGGATTCCAGCAGAGAGGCGGAACTTGGTGCCCACATCCCCAGCATTGCATGTTCAAAGGTTTTGTCTTCACGACGGCAAGTCTCAGCTGATCCATACCAGATGCTCCCGACAATAATTTCTGCAGGGAGCTCATGAGTTCCGTTGTTCCTCGACATGCAATTAATGTATAATTTGGATGAATCCTAGCAATATACATCTTTCTAGTTAATTCATTTATTTGAAATCGGGGCAATTGGATGAAAATTCTCCGCACTCCATGTCCGGAGATCGCGACCTCCGAAGTTGTTTGACGGTTGACCTCCGATTTCTACCAACGGAGAAGAAGAGGGAGTCAATGGGAGATGGAGAGAAGGTTGGCACGGTGGTTCGAGTGGCAGAGGCGGGTCAAGGACGGATGGTAGCGGCAATGGCCAAGTGGCGACGATGGTGACCTTTGGTGTATACTTGTCCAAAAAGTCCTAAACTTATTATACGATGGCCAGTCAATCCTAAACCTTTCAATTGTGCTAATTTAGTCTTAAACCTTTTGATGATTTACCAATGTGTCATTTTGGCAAATTTCTTAGCTGGAAATCATTGACGTGGACGCTCGCTATCTTACATGTCTTGACTAGTGCAAACATGGACAATTTTTGTAATTTTATGAAGTTTTTTGAATTCCTTTCTTTTCTTTTCCTTCATTGCAAGAGTTGGCGAGGGCATCCCTTGCTTGTGGCCGGCGAGCACGGCCCTCCCCTGTGACTGGTCGCCACAAAGAGAAAGGAAAACAAAAAGAAAAGGAGAGGAAAAATTTAAAAAACTAAAAAGATTTGCTAAAATTATCCACGTCATGCAGGACAGCTAGCGTTCAAGTCAACGATATCCGGCTAAGATTGGCCGAAAGGATTATTTTGGTAAGTCGTCAAAAGGTTTAGAACTAAATTGACAAAATCGAAAGGTTTTGGACAATTTTCACGGCAATCTTGGGGACGAGAATGAAACAGGGGAGAAAAAGGGACGAAAATGGGAAGGAGAACACACAACAGGGGCCACCCGATGAACAAATGTCAAAACCAGAGGGCCTCTTCGGGCTTCACGACAGTTTCATCAGCCCCCTTGCTCAAAAAAACCAACGTTGGCAGCCTATGTTATGATGGGCCTTTGATAGGCTCCTGCCCCAAAAGAAACACAGACAATAGAAAAAGAAAAAAGGAAATTTTAAAAAATAACAATAAATAATAAATTAAAATTTAGCAATCATTGTACACTGTTGTTGCAAGGAAAGGGTCCTAATTGAAAATCGGCCGCCGTCGTCGAAAACGAATTTCCGACGAATTTTTTCTTGATGCGACCAAACCTAATCTTGTTCAAGCTAAAGTTGGTCCAACCCCCAAACCAAACGACATGTTTTATTCCAGCCTCTTCGATCAACCTATCCACGTACCTCCCGGCTAGATTCTGACTACTAATCTGCATTGAGAAAAAAAAAGGACTTTTTAATTTTCTATTTTGTCAAAAGAAAGAGGTTCATTATTTTAGGTGCTTTGAAGCTAATCTAAGATTTCATTAGGCAAGAGAAAATCCGATGTAATCATGTGCCCGACTTAGGTGGCTATGATGATGGGTAGAAGGTAGATTGCAAATACTTTATTCCGGGGTTCTCTTGAATTAATAATTCGTTCTAGAATATCATAATTCGTGCTACGCTATGAATTTCTAAACACATGTCCAGAAAAAATCGTGTTCGGGTGAATCGAAGGGCTTTTTGGGCCTTCTCAGTCCCACAGAATTCGGTCGGAGTCCCTTTCTTTCTTTCTTTCTTTCTTTCTTTTTTAAGGTAAATGTACGAAATTAGATCCGGCCCACCTAGAGGTCCCCGGAGTGTATCGCATATGGTGGTATATAGTGACATCGAAATTCTCGAATCACGGCCAACAGGCATGCGGCCCTGCCGGTAAAGGAATTAGGGAGGTGGGGTCAGAAAATCCCAGGTCCGTAGTTCGATCCGCGCAAGCACCGCACGCACATGTACATAAAAAGAGATGAGCCAAACCCAAAAAAAAATAATTCTCGAATCACGCAGCTCGTACACGGGGCATTTGATGCGACTAATTAGAATCTGATGCATTGGGGGCACATGGCGCGCATCGATCGCGCCATGCTCTCTCCCGCAACACCCAATCCGGCGAAATCACACCGGAAGGATGAATCGAAACGGCCCCGAAGAGGGCAAACATGAAAAGAGGAAGCACAGAAACGAGCAGCATTACGTTCTCTGTACCAACGCACCCGACACAGCCAGACCGGACCAACGCATTGCCCTTTTGCCAACTCCGAAAGCACTCAAAACAAGGGGAAGTCGACGGACCACAAGCAATCGATCGACATAAAAAAAAGAAGGAAGAAGAGCATAAGATGAAAAGGTCGGGGAAAGAGAAAGAGAATCAATAAAAGCACACTAGGCAAGCCCCCCCCCCCCCCATGATTAGGACGAGGAAAAACCATTAAACAAAAGCAGCGAATTGAGCCCCCAAATCTGGCTTTGGAAGCTAAAGCCACTGCGATTCAAACACCCCTTAATCCATCTCCTCTTTCGCATCACCAACAATCACCACGTATAAAAAAAAATTAGACCACAGCTCAAACCAATCTGGTCCTGTCGCTTCCATTTCGTATTGAACAACTTCATGTGTACACAATGTACAATTTTACACCTCACGCTTTCGATTTGGCCCCCCCTCCAAAAGCAACCCTAAGCACGCAAGTAATCGCTTGATTAGGACACTAACCTCTTCCCTCCCTCCCACCCCATGTGGTGGCCTCTCCCGAATGAGCTGTTAAATTACGAAGATTAGTTTTAAGAATCGGTCCGTAGCTTTCTCTTTTGCGTATATCTCGTTAGTACCCGAAGGGCGCCCGGCGCGGGATCCCTTTCCTCCGCCGGGAATTGGAGGGGGCGGTCGATGGGGGCGGCGGCGTGGGCGGGGAGACGTCGTCGTTGTATGGTGGCGGCTGATGATGAGAGTGGATTTGCCTGCCTTCACGCGATCCTTCGTCTGCTTTACAGGGCAATCTCCTTGCCATTCCTTCCTTCCTTTCCGCGGTTTCTTCGTCATTCTTCGCGCTCAAGACAAAGCTTGCATCCCCATTCCTCTTTATCCCTTCAAGCTAAGTCATTCGTTTCACACACACACACACAATTAGAATTTAATTTAATGTGGGTTTTGTGCGACATAAACAATGGGTTTTTTTATTCAATTTAATGAATAATTGAACCACATTTTTAATCAATATAATCGAGCTCGCTTGATATATATATATATATATATATATATATATATATATATATATATATATATATATATATAAGAAAATCTCTAGAGCTGGATAAAGAAACGTTCACAGATGGGCAAAATCTAACGAAGTGGTGTCGTCATTATTATCCAACTCACTTCTTTGATTAATAACACTAATAATGTCATGAGAACTAATGACAAATGTGGGGAAGAATAAAGGAAGAGAAGAAAGAGTGTGGTTCTCGTGAACCGGAGATATGATTAGGTTGAATTCGCCGAGAGAAACCTTTGTGTGAACCCTGTTGTCCGATGAGATGATTCGTCGAAAATGCAGATGCATAGAGGTAGAAACGGATTATCGTGCTAGTGGCGAGATCGTCAAGAACTAGGATGAATCTGTGATCGGAAGACATAGTCACATTTGAATGGATGGGCATGTGTAAAGATCACTGACCTTACAACCGAGAGAGCAGAAGCGCAAAGGGTCGAGCAGACTCCGCGAGCAGATTTCGCACAGATGAGAGACGCCTTTGCCGGTGGAGCTCCGAGGCTGAGGCCGCTCGTTGAGGAAGAGGACCCTCGCGCTGTTTATCACGTACGTCTGGACTCCGCTTATGTCCAGCACCGTGTCAATCTCGGCGACCCTGACCACGTCGTGGTACGACGACCTCCTTATCTGCTCCCCAAAACCAAACCAAACCCCATTCTCAATACTCACATCGATCCGGTGGCACGCGTGCATACAATTTTAGAACCAGAAAGACCGAACATTGCGAACGTTATACTCACTTGGATAACGTGATGGTCCTTGTGGCGCGATGACCGGCAGTAGTAGCAGAAGGCGCCGGACTCGCAGTCGAGGCAGTACATGTTGCATTCGCTCCGCGGCGTGCCCCGGTGAGATGGGCAATTAGAGAAGAAGGAGGTCGACAACAGGGACTCCAGCCAAGGCGGCACCATCTCTCTTTCTCTCCCTCCCTCTCCTCAAATGTCGTCAGGAACAAAGAATGTGATGAATGTCGATGATGATCAGAAGAAGAGAAAAGGAATGGAAAGGAAAGGGAAGGGGTGTGTATGCGGGACGATATGAATAAAATATGTAATTCACCAGCTATTATATCGTCTCCATTTCGATCTCTGCAATGATGAAGATGAGAGAGAGAGTTCAGGGAATCTGAAAATGCGACCTAGAAGTGATCAAGACCAATAATGGTGGGGGAAGCAAGAAGACAAGCTAAGCATATAATAAAGAAGGAGAGGAAAAGAAAACTGAATGTCTTGGGGACGGTTCAAACAAAGCAAACGGTGGATTAATGGGGAGGAAAAGGAAAGGTCCAGGAATTGGAAGCTAACGCCATCACTTTTTGCACATTATTCTCTTTCTATCTCTTTCTTTTATTATAAAGTTTGTATTTGCTTAGGCATTGAGAGGTCCATCCACACCCTGTTAGGTAACAAGATATTAAGTTATTGCTTTGAATAGGGAAAAAAGTGGCAATTCCAAGCGCACGATGGACGAGCTCCAATTGTCGTCGACCCTGTTTTGGTGAGTTGACGGGTGGATTTTTTCGGGCTTTTGAGGACGGCGTTTATTTCGTTGAAAGAGCGAAAAGGCTTTCGGATACCCTTTAGAATATGAATAGATTGATATGAATCGACAAATGTTATGAAGGGTCCTTTGTTGATTTTGGACAAACAAGTAAATGACGAGGAATTTAAAGTACGGAGCCGAAGATGTAAATTGCAGGAAAGTAAAGATAAGAGATAAATGTGTAGACGAACATTTGAGTTCTATGATTGATTTGGAGTGCTTTGCAAAGAGTGCAATGCCGGTATTTCTAGCCCACGATCAATGGTTACAAGTAGCTATTGAGTTTGTATGAACAAATAGCTTCCTAATCTCGAGGTTTCAAGAAGTTACACTATCTGGAATATCCTATTATTCCACATGAAATTATAAAAGTCCTTAGCGACCATAGATATAAACATCTATCAGTTATATTTTTGTGTTGATTACTTGTTGTGGATGACTTTGTTAATCAACTTTTCAAGTTTCGATGAAGGCTCTCATCCATAACTTTCTTGTCGTGTGTTGTTGATGACTTCATTGGCAAGTTGTCAATTTTCTTCAAAATGTTGACCGTTCTGTTCTTTGATGACTTTTGTTTTCACCAATATTGACTAAGTTTGTCAATTATCAGTAGCAACCAAAACTTAATCATTCGTTTATGTCAACATATCAAATGTTTCATAAATCATTCAATTCTTTTAAATAATCATGATTCATCAATCATTCAACAAATTTGATTTTTTCTTGCTGAATTGCCTCCTAAATTGTTTTACTAAAAATAATATATTTGATTGGGCAACGGCTCTATGAATGGTGCCACTTGCAATATATTTTATTTACTAAGTCTTCATTACTTGGTCTTCTACTTAATTAAATTGGGTCATTTTTCAAAAGCAAATCAAAGATTTCGTCCGATTTATTAATATCGAATGAGTAAACTTGAAGGTCTTTAGCCTTGGTCACTGTTGTTTCTTTTATTCTAACAGGCTTTAAGGATGGACAGATATAACCCTTGTCTTTTTTTTTTTGGTCAGACAGATTTAACTCTTGTCAAGCACCATTTTTGCCACAACTATATTCATATTTTGATATTGGTCAGATTCATCCTCCGACTCATATCTTTACATTAAAGCTACACTTTGTCTAAAGTCTTCATGTGGCACTTTATCTCTTTCTTTAAGTAGTCGCTCAAGCTTAGACAATCTTGCCACCAATTAGAATAAGTCGGCAAAGTCTTAGCCCTCGAATCTTTCTCTTATAGTGAATTTTACTCCTTTGAAAGCCAAATTTGTGAACTCTTTTGCCGAAAATGAAGTAAGACTTATATTTCTGGCCTTCTTAAATAGAGCAACAAATTGATCGATCAACTCATTGTATTGATAGAGTTTAGCTATAAAGCAATCATCACCACAGGTATCGTTCTACGAAATTGAGAATGGAATTGTCTTTCCATCTTAGCTGAGTTACCAATAGAATTGGGTGGCAAGTTAGTGTACCAAGTGAAAGCAATTGTCGACAAAAACAAAGGAAATAACCTAAGTCTTAAAAACTTATTTGTCTTTGCTTTCTCACACCGGGCTATAAATTGACCAATGTAGGGATCTTTGCCGGTAAAAATGGCAAAGTCGGGGATTTTGAAGCCTTTTGGAAAAAGGCTAATTATCAATTGGATGTAGTTTCATGTAAACAGATCTAAAAACACACTTACTTAATCCCAATTGTTGTCGAACTTCTTCAAGAAACCAAGTTGGGTTGAATTATTTGGTTGGCCATCTTACTCTCTAGGGGGTGATGCCGATATTGCCGGATTATCTGTTAGGCTTAATAGGAATATTTGGGTCATGTGATGAGAAAGTAACCACAAGTTTCAAGTTTTCCATATCTAGCATTCGACTAACCTCTTGATTAATTTGGTTTGCCAAATTGTTATTACGTATTTGATTGTTTTGACCAACATTATCTCCATTCTTTTGGCCTCGATTAGAAGATTCTGGCGTTTGCAATATTCTTACGGAGGGTTAATCAGTCTGACCTATATTATTGGTATTATTAAAAACAGAGGAACTAGAAACGTACCTTGTTACCATTGGATCAACATGGAATGGTGGTGGTTGACAGGATGATCATGGCCTCGATAGATCATCATCCACAACATCAATGACTATTGGTTTGATCACATCCAGTATATGACTTGCGTTATAATTAGCCATATCATTTTGCTGTTCTTCAAAAATCTCCTCATGGTAGCCACCTGTTGATATTTGGAGTAAAATCCTTAATTGCCCACTTTGAACCCTTTTTTGAGAAAATGACCTCCTTTCATACTATTATTTGGAATTTTCCCTTTATTGGGGTGCTTAACAATGAGTACAATATCGTTGTTTATAACTTATGATCGGCCATTACAAGCGGTCAGTGAATTTGAATGAACAAATAACTTTCTAGTCCTATTTGCAGTTACAAGAAGTTACACTATCAACGATCTCCTATTATCCAACAATGATTATCTACACAAAGTTATAAAAATTCTAAGTTAGAGGCTATAGATATAACCACTCAGCAATTATGTTTTTATGTTGATTACCGCTGTCGATGACTTTGTCAATCAATTTCTTAAGTCTCGATGAAGGCCGTAGTCAATAACTTTCATGTTGCGTGTTGTTGATGACTTCATTAGCAAGTGGTCTATTCTTATCAAGTTGTCGATTGTTTCGTTCATTGATGACTTCTGTTCATCGTATTATGCTCTCATCGACTAAATTTGTCACTTGTCGATAATAATGAAAAGTTAATAAGTTTTTGATGTCAAAGACACTCAATATATATTCTTGCATGTGCTGATTCATGGATATGTGGGTTTCTCCGTTAATCACGTTTATAGCAAGACTAACACATAATATTGTACCTTACCAAAACAAACACATAATATTGGCATATTTAGACTAACACATGACACGAAACAGCATGAATATCCATATAATTACGATGACAGGACAAGGATTGCCGGCCCCAACTTTATATACCGACTTCACATATCTGTCATAGAATTCCTAACGTCAATCTTTCGACATCATTCTACAACAAGATAGTACAAACAAAACAGAATTGTGAAGCACATCATCCCCAGCTAAATTTAACTTGGGATGACATATTCATTCATCAACATGACATAAGAATCAAAGGTCTTCTGATTACGAGATAACCTAAGGAGGTTGAACTTAGAAACTCAAGCCAGCTTGAAGATTAGAACAACCTGAGGCCACTCACCTTTAGATTTTTCTTTTTTCTTTTTGTGGATTTTATTTTATTTTATTTATGGGGTTCACTGGAAATATTCGCACGGTTTCTCTTGTCCTGAACAATGAATAACGTGTGAAACATGGAACCCTAACTTTGGACCGTGTCTGGCGAAAGGACCCAACTTTTTTCTTTCTTTTATAGGGATTTCCCTAACCTTTTCGATGCAAATAATGACAGGCCAACACAGCAACAAGGCGCTTGCTGTTGCTTTGCCCACCTAAATTAATTTTGTATTTTGTTGGGGCAATAGGTGCCCACAGACTCGGAAGCCATTGTTGGGATTTTGGCATCCAAATCCCATAAAATTGAATGAGAAGTGTATGGATGAAAGTGTTCCACATAGGATAGAAGAGGTGATGGGAGATGATTTATTTTGAGGAATCTCTCAAATAGGTTTGGGCCCCAAGGGGTACCCCACTTTTGTGGAAGAGAGAGGACCTACGCCAAGCTGGGTCGATTTCCCCGCGCGCGCCGCCGTCCGTCCGGCCGGCTTCCCGTCGGTTTTATTTTTTCCCGAATTTATTCTTTTTGTTTCGAACAAATATGTCTGTTCGTAGGTTCGGGTTCTACCATATGTCCGAGAGTAAGAGTGACCAAGTATAACCGAACCGAACGAAATTGTTCGCTTGGTGACTCTTCATTTTCGTCTTTCTATATCCGAAATGTTCGCTTGGTGACTATTCATTTTCGCACATGACCGAACGAAACTCTTCGGTTATTAGTAACTGTTCATTCCGACTCTTTATTAATTTAAAAATAACATCCGTGAGAGAGGAATTCTGGTTTTTTCCGCAAGTCATATTGCTGCACTCTCATTCTTCATCATTGTCATTTTGTGCGATTATTCTGCGAAGTTGCTTTCGAAGGTTTCCTTTGAAGAAGTATCGCTTCATAGGAAAGGCAATCCGTTCTATCCTGGGAGACGATTGTCCAATATCCTCGGGTATTGATTGAGGGGCCAAATTTGTCTTAAGGACACGACGTTACTTCGTTGGGCTCGGATCAACATTCTGTTTATTTATTTGTACTATTTTCAGGTTAGTTTTCCTGACGTTTGATTTCAATTTCTAGTATACGAACTTAGCCGACAACAATCTTAAGAAGAATTTGATTGAAATGTTATTCTGTTTTCAATTATCTTCGGTTCTGTTCGTATAATGACTTGCATGGTCTGCGTATTCTTATGCGTTGTTCATTGAGTTTTTCTGTCAAATATCTATATTGGCGTTCGTTTAAGTAGAACCTTTGTTGTTCGTATACTTCTGAGTTAATACAAGTATTATGTATAGTTCGTATGTTCCTTGTCATAGTTCGTATAGTGTTTTTGTTGGGATTATTTTGTTATGTAGTTCGCTTAGTTTTTGACGAATTTCTATCACATCATTCAATTCTGCTTGTGTCGAAATTCTATTACA